ATTTATAATAAATAGCATAGACTATTAAAATGACAAATATACAATTATCTATCACTATTGCAATAAACTAATGAAATACTAGATCAACAACAATCTGTTAATCATTCAAACATGTATTCAATTCTTATTGATTTCTTATTTACATTTGCTTTAACTATTTGTTAGCTATATACTTTCGTTCCTGGTTTCTAGCGCGATTGCGTCGCGCAGCTACCTTATTAATTAGCTTCAATTGGCAACAGACCTACCTAATGGAAATACTTACGTGCGTGTGTAATTTTCATAACCAAATTTGTAAAATACACAATGCAATGTTGTTATTATGCAACAATGCTACATATGTGCGTATTTTAGAAATCAATTTTTACGTATTATTAATCTTATTATATTTATATATGGAAATTCCAAATTTTAGTAATCACCAGTTAACTAATGTTAGTAATTTATTGATTTGTCAGCTTAACACGTTATAAATTTTTTTTTTGATTTTTTATACATATTACGATCGAAGAATTTATAATATATTTTGGAAAGATTTTTGCTGACCTTATTTTTGCCGAAAAGTATAAAAATGAATTCTCAGAACCTCAAAGTTAAGATTCAACAAACTCAATAAATTAATACTAAATAATTATATAAGACAATTATATAAGACAATTATAATATCTCGAATATCTAAATTAAAATGGCTATTGTGAATAACCATCCTGAAGAAACTCGCGAAGCACTTTTGAAAACCGATCCTAAACTTTCAACAAAAGAAGTAGTTCTCGATGATAAATACGCTGCTGTTGCGTCTGAAGCCTCAATTCAAACCACCAAATCAGGTCTAGAAGCCAACCAGCATGAAGTTACGATTCTTGAAACAAGAGAGGAAGCACTTGAATTTTTGAAGAACTTAATTCCTAAAGGAAGCTCAGTCAATAATGATCATTCTACTACTTTAGAAGAAATTGGATTTATTGAGTATTTAAAGAATGCTACAGAATGGGATAATATTCATGCCCAGATTTTAGCAGAGAAAGATAGTGTCAAACAGATAGAGTTAAGGAGAACTAAAGGTGTTACAGTCAACTACTATTTGTCTTCCGCTGATGCTATTACTGAGAATGGAGTCATTGTAAGTATTATATCTTTTGGTAGAATATTCAGAATAACATTTTATCATGTGACCTAATTGACCTAATCGATAATAAAATTTATATAATAGGTCAGAAGCGATTACACAAGAACTCGTGTCGAAGCTTGGAATTCAGGTGCCGGAAAACTCATTATCGTCGCTGGTACAAACAAAATTGTTAAAAATGAACAAGAAGCTAATGATCGTGTATATAATTATGTACTTAAATTAGAATCAGCACGTGTTAGATTAGCATATAAAATCCCTACTAGTAATGTTGCAAATTATTCCATTATCAAAGGTGGCAATCCTTTTAATCCTAAGCGTGTTCATGTTATATTTATTAAAGAGTCTTTAGGATTCTAAGTGATGGAATTTTATAGCAATTAAGACCATTTTGTATAAGATTTATTACTATTTTTTAGCATATCATGTTATTCATATTTTTAAATTATATATTAATCAAATTTATTAATTAATATTTGAGAATAAAGTTCTAGTTTTCTTTCATGTAAGACATTTACTTATTAAAAACTAATATCTCATAAAACATCCTAATATGCAACATAGTAGTCGTAACTATAATCGCAGCTAGGGTTGTTAAAAAGCTTGTCAGACTCAGTCCTTGAGTTGACTTCACAGGGACGTTTTAGAACCGACTCCAAGCTTATCTCAATGTATAATTTACATCATTTTCGCAAAAATTCAGAATTACTGCAAAATGCTAAAATTCTATTTTTAAAAATTCTGTAATATTTTGTAAAATTTTTATTTATTAAAGTACATCATATTTAATGTTTTAAGCGAAATTTAAAAAAAATTTTGTTTTTACTACACTGGCGAACATAAATAATGCAGCAAAAAAAAAAAAGCGTTAGATCATATTATCTCGCGCAATTCGGGACGGATTCTTTTTTTTTAAAAAATAAAAAAATCACAAATAGTATCAGTTTTACAAATACAAATTTTTTAAAAACTAATGAACTAAATTTTTTAGGGCATGAGCTATATTTCAATTCACATGCTGCATTATTTTTGCTTGTTTTTACAGCAGCACAACTGTAAAAATAAAATCTTTTTTTATTTAATTTTTTTTTTTTACTATCTAATATAACTACCCCAGGATCTAATTACATTTCAAATTCATTCTAGCATTGAATGAATCAGGTTTGTACAGGTTTCAATATCAATTTTCTTCCAAACCATCTGAATTTTTTTCTAAAGGTCCTTTTCACTTTTGAAATATTACTAGAAAGCTTTTTAAGATGATAGTCAACCTCAGCCTACAGATGTTTGATTGGGAGACAAGAGGGCCAATCAAAGGTCTTTACTTTATTTCTTCTAAGCCAACATTTAGTCAAGGTCACAGTATGGCAGGTGAAACCATCTTGTTGACAAAGTATCTGCTAATATAACTTACTATCTATTATATTGTTGATTTTACAAAAACCTTCAATACTACAAGAGGTAAAGTATTCTTAAATCATGTCCAAACCACCTTCATACTTCACTTTTGGCTAAACATAAAATCAGTTTAACAGTTCATCAGAACACTTCTAATAATACTGCTTATTACTATATTATCTAATCCAAAAATTTGAAATCTTGACTTGTTAAACAAGATTACCTTAGATTTATATTTTTTTTTGCAAATTTAAGTTTTGTTTTTTAATAACCAGTGCTCAGAAAGAGCTTTTTTCTTTTAATATCTGATACCAACCATGTTTTGAAATATATATCAAATAGTAGAAGTCAAAGCTTCAAGATTTTTTTTCTTTTAGATAAAAAACCATCTGCACAGCAGTAGAGTAGCAATAGAAAGTAATCAAATTTATAATCTATCTTTGGGTTGGTTCATTCACCAAAAATCAGCAATCAGCTCTTTCTAAATTTCCAAGTATATAATTTACTAATTATCTTTTTTGATACAGAAGACAGTAGAAAGGCTAATATAATAGATCTGGTTTATAGCTCTTAAAGTATATTTAGTATTTAAAATTAGTGTTTTCAGAGTTTTTATAAAAATATAAATTTAAGTTTGTGAACAGTAAAAATTTTGTTATTTACTATTAAAAATTTTTTGTAAACAATAAAGTAATATATAAATTAATTATATAAAGTATAATATAGAAATTCTTTTATAAAATCACATAATTAGTATATTATAAATTTTTTCAAAATATATTTATATAAAAGTTGTGCTTATATAGAAATCTTTTAATATAAATTAAATTATATTTAAATTTAAGTATAAATATAATTATATATAGTGTGATTATATAGAAGATAACTATATAAAGACATAGCTGTAAAAGTTATATTATTAAGTTATTTTTTTAGTAAATATAATCTATAATTTAAAAACATTTATAGCTATTTTCTATTCTTATAAGAACAGTTATTAAATTTAAGATTTTGCAGACTGAATTTATTTTTTTATAACAAAAATAATATCTAAGTCCTTTAAGTAGAAGTTATATATATTTTTTTTTGGAGGTATAGCGACTTAGTGAAATTGGCAAGTTGTTGCATCTCCAAGTGGCAGGACCAGAGTTTGAATCTCACTGGTAACGAAAATTCAAATTTATAGAAAATGCATTTAGAAGACTGATCCTATTGGGTTATAGAACTTGTAATAGGGTTGTACCAGCTTGTACTGAGAGGTAGTGGAACATGTAGTGTGATATACAAGTTACATGAAATTTGAATAAAGCTACTGAATAAATCTAGCAAATTTATAGGGTATGAGAGCCCGCTTGGCAAGATCTAAGTAGAAAGATAGCACAGATCTTTGACAATTACTATGTAAAGGATGATCAACCAAATATCAAAAAACTAGACAAGACTGAGGTATTTGGCAAAGCACTATACCAATCAGGCTGACAGAGAAAAACACAGAAAGAGTTTTGCCCTTCTGGACCATCAGATTAGGAGTTTGGATTTTCAGAAGTATAGGAAAAAATCTGTAAAATAGGTATACTTCCTGACATAATCACTGAATTTTAATAATCATAAAAATCTAACCTAATTTGTTGATGATTATAGCTACAGATAAAACTAATTTTTTTTATATGTGAATCAGTCTTTGTACTGTAAATAAAGTTGTTTGCCATAATGATTTGTATATAATTTAATTTATTTTAGAAAATTTTGTTAAGTTTTTTTGAAAATATTTTGATATTTTGATGTTTGTAAGTAAAAAATAATAAATAATAAATAAAATTATTATATGGTGACATATTTTTTTATACCCTTTTGAATTTTTTTATAAAAATTTAATCCTATATAATTTAGAACTTAGAGAACAACTTTAATCAAAATACTAATTAGTTTTATAATACAGTTGTTTCAGGATTAATGGTTTAATTAAAATATTTAATTTTAAAAAAACTCATATTTTTGAAAGATGTAGTGACTTAGTGAAGTGGTGAAGTTGTCGCACCCCAAGTAGTAGAGTATAAGTTCAATTCTCACAGAAGGTGAAAAATTGAATTTTAGAAAAACGGATCGTCGTAGCTAGGAAAACTTAAGACCCTGTAACTGTGGTCGTATCAAGATAAAAATTGGAAAGTTCTGAGACATTTGTGTAATAAAAAAGTTATACAAAGTTATGCAAGCCAGTTTAGTCAGTGCAAATACAAGATAAGTTCTTCGAAATCGCTAAAAGCCACAGAGCCAATACGGCGGTAGGACATTCGCTTAAAAAGTTCCGAATAGAGAGGTAGCACAGATCTTTGATGATACTACATGCAGATTATTACTTAGAGAATCAGATAAACTGAACGGGACTGAAGTGCTCAGCAAGGCACTCCACCAACCAGACTGTCAGAGAAGTAACTAGAGGAAAAAGACCCAATTGTGAGGACCAGAAGCAGGTCATAGCCCTTCTAAGCCATCTGAATTAGTAGTTTGGAATAGCTGGAAAACTGAGAAAAATTTGTAGGTATACTGGAGTTTGGGTGAACTCTATAAGAGCAATAATAAGTAACTGTAGCGGCCTCAGCTTGCAAATACTTGTTCTCAGACTTGGTGTAAATTACTGAAAAAGACTAGGCAATATGAAAATAGTGTGTACCAGACTGCTCTAGCAGATGATGCACTCGAGGATGAATCAGTTAACCTTGTCAGTAGTCCTATAGGTAGACATGATGATCTTGAAACTTGGTCTGACTTATGTATTGCATATCTGGATGAGGTTAAATAGATTGACATAGAAAACTCAGATCAGAGGGTTTAATTGGGTAGCTCAAGTAATAGTGAGTTACAGGTATAGCATCTAGTGTAGCACCTAGCACATAGGTAGAATACTTAATTAGGCACCCAAAAGGTACAGATATAGCTAGAATGTATTCTCGTCAGAATGTACTTGTCTGGAGCCTCTTTGAAAAGGGCACTATATGATTCTATTATCTAATAAAAGTGATAAGCTAAAGAGGCTAACCTTGAAAAAAAAAAAAAAAAAACTCATATTTTTTGATATCTTAAAATTTTGTAGAATAAATCATTATAAAATTTATAAAAATATGGGTTTAAAATACAATATATATATTATGTTATATTATATAATATATTATTTATTTTATTAGGTTATTCTAATATAAGTTTTCCAATATTTTATTATACTAGCGTAAGACCTGTCACATTGCTCTGAATTTAAGTACCTTTATACTATATTAATTTTTCAATTGAAGTAAACATTCAATTAAAGTATCTACCCCAGTATCGCCATCAAAAATTCACTTTATGTGATTTTTGGCCAATAACAGATCACAATTTAGTATAACATAACATGATCAGTTAAATTCAAAACAAATATTACTTTTGTCAAAAATTGCTTATTTCTCAAAAGTTTGTATAGGAAACCACCTTTTGTGCACTAAAAAAAAGTTTTCCTTGAATAATTTTACTATATAATAAACTAAACCCAAATCCTAAAGAATTTTTTCGTTAGTCACGTGGGGGTGAATTTTGATAGCGATATTGGGGAAGATCAATTAAAGCACTGCAGTAACGTAATGATTGTGTAACATGATGATCAACATGTGATTTTATTTACACATGTTTAGCCAATCAAATGTTATTTTTGTCTCCTATTGTTTATCTCATATAGTAGTATTTATCTCTTAGTTATTTATCTATCTGTAGCAAATTATATAAAAGATAAAATTTTAAGATACCAAAAATATAAGTTTTTCTAAAATTGATTGTTTTAATTAAAATATTAATCCTAAAATAACTGTATTGTTAACACTAGTTAGTTTTTTAATTAAAGTTGTTCTTTAAGTTCTAAAGCATATAAGATTAAATTTTCATAAAAAAATTCTAAAGAGTTCAAAAATGTGTTGCTATATAATAAGTACTTGTTA